GCTGTGGCAGGGTGAGTACACAGGGTGGGTGGTAGACTTGGTCGCCTGTTTTGTGTCTGCTGCGTGTCTTCCGGTCCTGGGGCACTGGGCAGAATCATCCAAAGCCCGTTGCTATGAGATCTGTGCTTAGGGCTGGGTGTTACGAGCTGTGTGGACTGTGGTTTCCAGACCTTCCGTAATGTTCGTATTAAAACACACTGGCATGGTGGCACCTGCCTGCAGTCCTGGAACATGCCCGGATCACTTTTGCAGAATTGGACCTTGAGGCCCTGTGTGTGGGCAAGCACTCTAGCTACACACACACACACACACACACACACACACACACACGCAGTCCTCCTCTTTTTTATTTTCAGGCTCGGTCTCATTAAGTTTCCCAAGCTGGCCTTGAACTTACTCTGTAGCCCAAGCTGGCCTGAACTCAAGATCCTCCTACCTCCCCCTGCACTGACAGCACACATAACATATTCTGTCTTATACCAAATATTACTTGGGGGATAATTCTGAGGGATACAGAGTTGTCACCGAATTCTTGAGGGATTCATAGAAAATAACATTTGCAAAGCTCTTTTCCTGTTCTGGGAATTCTGGTTTATAACGTTCCACTCTCCCCAGGAGATAATTGGATTCTGTGTCTGAGCTGTGGGAGGATTCATCCCTTTTCCCTTCTCATCTGAGAGACCAAGTCTAGGTCCTCAGCCTGGTTTTCTATTCCCTAGAAGTGGATGCAGTGTGTGAGGGGTTCATGTCCCAGGCTCAGGAAGTACTGGTGAAAGTGGGGAAAGAATGTCAGCTAATGCGGGGGCACTGGTTAAATGAAAACAGTCTTACCACCTTTGTACAGCAGGACTGGGATGTGGCTTACAAGGACATACTTGTCTAGAATCCCCCAGTGAGGGGCTGGGGGCGTGGCTCAGTGGTAGAGCCCCTGTCTAGAATCCCCCAGTGAGGGGCTGGGGGTGTGGCTCAGTGGTAGAGCCCCTGCCTAGAATCCTCCAGGGAGGGGATGGGGGTGTGGCTCAGTGGTTGAATGCTTATCTAGCATGTGGAAGGCCCTGGATTTCATTCCCAGCATGAAGAGGGGCGGAGAAGAGGACACAACCAAAAACTTAAAATTGCAACTCTGGGTAATGCAGCCTAGTCTCATTGGAGATTCTGGGGACAGTCATTGTATCTGCAGGAAGCCCTGATTTCTGTTTGTCATTGTAGGAGGGAGAGTGGACACTGATCCATGCTGTGTGTGTGTGTGTGTGTGTGTGTCTTCATGTGTGCACATTAGGGTTAAACCAATGGCCTTAGCCAGGCATCTTTTTTTTTTTTTAAGATTTTATTTATTTATTTATTATGTATACAACATTCTGCTTCCATGTATATCTGCACACCAGAAGAGGGCACCAGCTATCATAATGGATGGTTGTGAGCCACCATGTGGTTGCTGGGAATTGAACTCAGGACCTCTGGAAGAGCAGTCGGTGCTCTTAACCTCTGAGCCATTTCTCCAGCCCCTAGCCAGGCATCTTTTTCCTTCCTTCCTCCCTTCTTTTCTTCTTCCTCCTCCTCCTCCTCTTCCTCCTTCTTCCCTGAGACAGGGTTTCTTTGTGTAGTTCTGGTGGCTGTACTGGAACTTGCTCTGCAGACCAGGCTGGCCTCAAATTCAGAGATCTGCCTGTGGCTCTCACCTTTAATCCTAGCAGTCGGATGTCTGAGGCCAGCCTGGTCTACAGCGTGAGTTCCATGACAGCCAGAGTTACACAGAGAAATTCTGTCTTGAACTGCCTCCTCCCTCAAAAAAAAAAGTGGTCAATGGTGGCACATGCCATTAATCCCAGCACTCGGGAGGCAGAGGCAGGAGGATTTCTGGGAGTTTGAGGCCAGCCTGGTCTACAAAGCTAGTTTCAGGTCAGCTAGGGCTGTTAGACAGAGAAACCCTGTCTCAAAAACACCAACCAAAACAAAAAAAGATACCCCCCCAAAAAAATTGGCCTTGTGCATACTAGGTTATCAGCCCACCACTGAGCTCCAGCTCCAGCAATAGTCTGTGTTCTTTGTACCTGATGTCAGGGTGGGTAGAGCAGCCTTGAAGCCTCCGTCACGTCCTCAGGTGCACAGAAGCATGCTGGCCCTCAGGAGGCCAAGAGTGAGGTGTGAGGGCCCCACAACAGAGGCAGGAAGAACCAGATCTCTGTGTGTTTTTCTCAGCTGTATGCTGGGCTAGGAATGGGGTTCCTACCTTACGGATTGGATTGGAGATTCAGAATGAAGGAATGAATAGGTCTGATGAGCTGAGAACCGGGCCCCGGAGTGTGGAGAGGCTCCGTGATGCTCACAATGATAGATGACTGCTCATTTCCCCCCCCACCCCACCCCAGTACCTGGGCCATGTGGAGGTCGAGGAGTCCCGCGGGATGCATGTCTGTGAGGATGCTGTGAAGAAGCTGAAGGCGGAGGGGGAGGGGCTGGAGACAGGGAGGGGGCCAGAGCAGACTGAAGGAGGTGATCCTGAACAGAGCCCTCTGTTCCCGCCCTCACCCCCAGATGGGCCGCAAGTCCGTGAAGTCCGTCCTCTGGGTGTCAGCTGACGGGCTCCGAGTGGTGTAAGATAAAACCAAGGTAGGAGGGCTGTGGTTGGGGTGGAGGGAGGCTTCCCACCCGCCATGGGGTGATCCTCTAGAACCTTCTAGACGCTGCCGTGTGTTCCGAAATCAGCTCGGCTGGCTGCATGCACAGTCCTAATTCGGGAACGAGGGCTGTGGCTATTTGAGAGCTGGTATGCCGAGTGGGTGGGTGAGTGCAGGAACTGGAGCAGCCCCCCCACC